GCGCCCGGCCTAGGAAGCAGATTTTAAAATAGGAATAACTACCCTGGATTTCTCTGCATACAAGCATATAAAGCAAATAAATGAAAAAAACAAGTAACATCATTTTCTTGCCTTTCTTTCATCTTATTGTATAATTATGACTTTAGACCCAAGATTTTATCTGGATATTTAATAATTATATCTACTGTAATTATGGTCAGTATAAGAGTAAGCCGCATATGACACAAAATTACAGAGCGAGCAGTACCCATTCCTTAACTTAAGCGAATATTTACAGAATGTCGTTAGGTACATGGTGTTGGTATTAAAAAATAGCTACAATGACAATTACAAACATTTTTTAAAGCATATGCATTTCTTAATATTAAGTCAGTGGCAGGAAATGTAGAGACTAGCAAATCCTCCCACGGATGAGGATATCATACTAACAGGTAGCACATGTGCCAGATACCGTGCTAGTTCTTTAATTCTCACGGCAGCTTTATGCAATGATCTCCGTTTTAAGCTGAGGAAAGGAGGGTGCAATGCACACAGGCCGGGTTCCCCGACTGCAGAGTCTGCAGCCTCAGCGGCAGCAAGGGCGTCCACGGCGCCACGTCCAGCACTCCGAGGCTGCTCTGCGTGATGCCCCCGCAGGTCCGGGCACTGAGGCAAACTCGAGTCCCAGGAGCTACTCGTCCTGTAAACCTGGCTAACGGAAATGTGCCTCAGTTTCCTCGTACGTAAAACTGGGATGGTGATAGAGCAGCAACACCATGAGGATGTTAGTAGTTTGGATGAGTCAGTATGTGTAAACCATTCTCGGAAGCCCCGTGCTGCCTGAGCGTTTGTTCAAAGCGCTCAGTACTTAAGCGCGACGACAGACGCAAGGAGAGAGGACAGACGCGCAAGGCCCGGTTCCGCCCGCCTCTGGCTCCAACCCCCGGGGTCCCCGTTAAGGCCTCTCCCCTGCCGAGGCCTCCGCCGGCCCCCGTCACTGACTCGCCCGGTCCGACCCCGGCCCGCTCAGCCCTCCGCCCCCGCCCGGCGGCCCGGCCAGGCCCAGCTCGGAGGCCTGGGGCGCCCGCCTCGCCGTTGCGCCGCCCAGCTGCCGCCGGGTCGCGCCCGCAGGGTCCCCGAACACCCGGCTGCCGGCCCCGCGCACCTCAGGCCCACTCACCGCGGGGACGACAGCCGCCCTCGCTCGCTGGTCGCCGCCCGCGCCGCCGGAAGTGCGGGCCGCGCCGTTCGCCGGCGCCGCCGCGGTCGGTCTAGGAACGTGGCGGAACGACCCTCTATGGTCCCAGGCCCTCCTGAAAGAGTTTCGTTCGTTTTTTCCTGTTGTTTTGTGTTATCCTCCCACCCCTCGGAAAGGACCTCAAGACCTGTGGCCGCCTCCGTCTGTGGTCGAGGAACGGCTTGTGTCAGGGCTTTTGAAACCAGACACCAGCCTGTCCAACCTCGAAACTACATTTTTCCCCTGCAAATATTGAGCACCTGGTCTAAAGAGATACTTTCGGGGAGCCTAAACTGTTCCTGACTTTTTTCACGAAGTCACCTTATTTAATTATTACCAAAAATCTCCTGCCAAGTGGGAATGATTACACTTAATTTACAGAAAAGGAAACCAAGGCTTAGAGAAGAAATTTGCTCGGGTCCGCACTGTGTCAGCGGGACTTGGGCGGCCCGGGATTGGAACGGCTCTTTTCCCTCCACAGTCTTTGATTTTCAACACGCCCCTCTTGTTTCTCCTTAGTGATGGTCTCGCTGGGTTCCTTCACCTTACAGGTCCTCCTCCTATGCCTGCCTGGCCGGTGCTCAGGCGTCTGACCATCTGGCCTGTCCTCCCTGAGCTCCCCGTCGAGTCTGATGGCTTCAGACACTATGAGTGTGCGGTGCAGACTCCTGCGTTCGTGACTCCAGTCTGCCTGTGGCTGCAAATACTGAACTCCGGACTTGCGTGTATATCCCATTGATTACTCAAGGGCCGCACTCGCATGTGTAAGGGACATCCCAAACCTGACATATCCCCAGACGAATTCTTGATACTCGCATAACCTGTTCTTTCAACAGTCTTCATCCCAGCAACAGATGGCAACTCCATCTTTTCAGTTGCTTGGGCCAAAAACCTCGATGTCAATGTTGTCTGTTCTTTTTTCACCCAAAACCCACATGCGATCCACCTGCGAATTCTGCTGGCTCTATCTTTAAAATAGATTCGTTATCAAGCTACTCTGAACAATTCCGCTGCTGTAACCTCTACCAAGCCGCCACCATCTCCTGTCTGGATTACTGTATTGGCTTCCTGACCGATTTCCCTACAGTCTCCTCCCAGCCTCAGAGTAATCCTTTTAAAACCTAAGTCAGACCATGTCATTCATTTGTTCAAAACCCTCCCAAGGCTTTCCATCTTATTAGAGCGAAAGCTAACAGACTGACAGTGGCACACAAAGCCTGTCGTGCTGTGTCTCTTGTGTTCTTTATCGCACCTGCGGTGCTTAGAGCAGTGCTCAGAGGGTGGCAGGCACTCAGTAAATATTTGTCGAATGAATGAATGAGTTTTTAAGATGCCTCGTTGTTTACGAAGTGCCTTTACATCTATCCTCTGGTCATTCTTCTTTACTACAGTCTCATGAAGCAGGGGTCGCAGGATCTGTCTTGCAGATCAGTAAAATGAGGTGAGAGAGGGAAGCTTGTCTGGTGTGATAAAGTGAGTTGTTGGTGGAGGCTAGACGAGATCGAAGGTGTTCCCACTGTAAAGCTGGGGCTTTCTGCTCTGCAGGGAGCCGCCCTGCAGATGGCAAAGCATGGAGCTGAATGGAGTCTGCGCGAGGAAGGTCCACTCGATAATCTGGATAATAACTGGATTGTTGTCCAGATCAGATGAGGTAGTAACGTAAGGCACTTAGCACAATGCATAACACACAGGGAATGGGAGCTGTCGCTATGACTTTCACCACGGAATTATTATCATAGGTTGTTCGTGCTGGGGGTTGGAGGGGGGGGGCCAAGGGCAACAGCCAGAGAACCAGAGACGGTTTAGGAAAAGTTTTAAGAGCAAAAATGACCTGTTGGGACTGAGCTCTATGTGCATTAAAATAAAAAGGTAAATTTTTTTCCGAAAGCAATTTTGTTAGTAAGATAGTTATAAATTAAAACTCTTTCCATGTCCCACATAAAGGTGGATTGTCTCTTTTTTCTAAACCTGAAAATAACTTGGCCAGAGGTATACAGATTAGAGCAAGAAAGATGAATTTTAAAAAGAGAGAGAGAAAAGTCAGAAATAAAGGGGTGGGGGGCACTAAGAGTGGCTGGACTAGGAGGTGAGGATGGAGAGAAGCGAGATTCAGGAAGGTATATGGGGGAGAGGGAGGGTAAAGAGGAGAAGGAAAAAGAGCAAGAGAGAACACAGGCAGGGTTTTATGCCCTCTATTTATTTATCAGTATAATAATACTTAACACTTACTGAATGCTTATTGTGTGCTGGGCCTTGTTTGAAGCACTTGTAGTATCTCATTTTAATACTCCTGTGGGATTGTTGTTCCTTGGCATGTGCCCGCCGCTCTGGGATGTGACATCCCTGCCTACTGTGGTGTGACTCCCGGTGCCTCCTGGTGAACTATGTGCCCAACCCGCTGATGTTGACTTGACCACGTGACCTGCATTGGCCAACTGCATGGGAATGGATGCCAGGTACACTTTCTAGAAGCTTCAAAGAAGCTTCAAGTCACTGTGCTTCCACCAGGACTCTGCTGTTTCCCTCTGCCTCAAGAAGTGCATGTCCCAAGTAGGGGCAGCTCCTTTGGTCTAGGACCAGGATGAGAAGACACATGGGGCAGAGCCACACAAGCCCCCTGTAGCCACTCGGTGGTGTAACACGTAACGTATGAGAGAAATAAATGCTCTTGTTGTAGCGCTGAGATTTTTGGTGTTATTTGTGACTGCATTAAAGTTGACTAATATACCTCCCAACAACCTTGAGATAGGAACTGTTATTATCCCTATTTTACAGATGAAGAAACTGAAGCAAGAAACTTGCCCAGGGTGACACATTTACAAGTGGGGCATCGCCAGACTTTGAAGCCGGAGAACGTGGCTCCAGAGCCCGTGCTCTTGACCTCTAAATAACAATGTGTGTCTCCCACATGGGATTCTAGGTTATTTTTATGTGAATTAAATTATTGAAAATGGTCACACATGATACCTACAAAACACAAAGGAGATGGGGGAAGAGGGTGGGGGCACACAGTCTGAGCATCGAACAGTACATTTTTCTGCAGAATGTGGGCCAGGAGAGGCCAGACCTCTTCATGGCTGGGGCATCTCTGGGAAACTACCCAACAGAGGCCACTGCGCCCCTGAGCCTGGTGGTATTTGAAAGGTCTGTTCCAGGAAGAAGAGTCTTCCAGGCTAAGAAAAATCCTGGCAAGACAGTTTCCATTTCCTACGGCTTTTTCCTCTGCACCTGCACTTGCTTGCAGACACGCGCGCACACACACGCACATACACACACACACACACACGCACACACACATGCACACACACGCACACACACATGCACACACACACGCACATACACACACACACACGCACATACACACACACACACACACACACAAGCACTGTCTCAACACGGAGCACTGCTGCCTTGGGTCTGAGTTGGGCAACACTGATCCCCAGCCCAAGTGCAAGAAGTCTGGTTATACGTGTGGCCCAAGTGCAGTAACAAGAGTGGCCCATCCCCCACGAAGGGGTCTGTTCAGCACAGGGGCCGCGAACAATGGTTCTGTGCACCAAGCCTAAGACTTTGCTTTCTGTTTCCTTTGGACTCTCTGGGAAAGGAAACCCTGGCAGTTCCCATTCCTGGGTCTGAGAAAACATCTCTGTTAAAGCCCGACCAGAAGGGCACAGAGCCCCACCCTGCACAATGCGAGTCTCGGGGCACGTCAGCAGCTGGCTCGCTCCCAGATAGCTGCAGCTCCTGGGGCCTGAATTTAGTGCTTCCACCTGGTTGTCTTTTCTCCTGGAGCTGGTTGGCTCTCATTGACCGAGCTTCCGCCCTGATCACTGAAGAGGGGCTCGGGATAGGGGGGCTGCTGCCCACCACTGCGCCTGGCAAGGATAGCCCACTGCCACCTCTGCAGCTGCAGAGCATGTGTGTCCTATACACAAGGGGCACATTTCGCATTGCTGGTTCCTCCGCAAATCATCTGGTCAGACTGGATAAGCCTTGGGCCTCGTTTCCCTGGGACTGAGGGGCCAGATGTATCCTGGGTGAATGCATGGCTTTATTTTGACAGCAGTACGGCCTTTAGTCCATTTTCTGGTAAACATTTCCAAGCAGGTAGCATATGGTTATCACCATGTAGAAACAAGACGTTTTTTTGATCTCTTCCGGTAATTTGTTCTCAGCAAACAGCCCTGTTTTTCCTGAGTCCAGTTCTTTTGCAATCATGTTGTTTTCGTCCTGTGTTGTTTATTACTCTCTTTGGTTTTAAGGCCTGGCTGGGAGGACAGTCCTGTTTTAGGAGAACACTCTCTGATAGGGATCTTCGCTTTAGCTCTGGCTTCCTTTGTTACCTGAGATGCTGGCTGGCCAAGGAGCATGTGAGAAATACCTTAAACTCTGTGGAGAAAGAAAGCTGGAGCTCCCCACAGAGACCAGCAGGAGACCACAGCATCTAACCTTTAATGTTTGAAATGGTGGGGTCAAGGTGAGCCTCTGAAAAGCAAATATGATATTGATAAAAAGATTTTTGAAGCTCTCAGATGACTGTAGAAGTATACCTTTTTCCCTTTTCTGTGCAACTTGTTAGTGATCTTTATGACCTGTGATATTTGGATATTAGTTTTGACAATGTCTATTTTAAAGGTGACACCTATCTAAAAAGGCCTTAAATAATATTGTAATAACTTGCAAAACAAACAAACACCAAACAAACCTGACAGGCTGGTGCTTACGAAGGGTTTCCTGCTCTAACAGCTTCCAGTGTGCTGAGCCCCTGTGCCGCTCCCGGGCTGGCAGGCGTCTCTCGGCCTGCAGAGATGCAAGCAATGCTATAGCCAGCTCCGGCCCGGCCTCAGGCCTCTGTGCAGGGAGCTTCGCTGGCTCTTGGCTTGGTGCGTCTCCTGACCCTTCCCAGGGTTTGGCCTTTTTCTTCTGATGAGGAGACCGCTGAACACAGTGTAGACTGTGGCTCTATTTTTTGTCCCTCCAGGGTATAGGCTTGGCACAAGGCAGTCACTCAATTACAGCCGAACAATGGATGGACAGTTGTCCTAGACCTGAGGTGGTAAATAAGGGGTAGGGGTTAAATTACCAGGGAGCGCCTGTTTTATTCATTTTCTACCTCTTATATGCCCTGCCTCCATCCCATTTAAGCCCCTGCCTGGAAGATTCCCAAGGCCTTCCTGATGCTAAGATTCTGCAATTCGGGGTGGCCCTATTGTTTATCGTCTGGGCCACCTGCGGACCCCCCACCCCCGTGACTCCTCTGTGTCCCACGACAGCCTCTCCTCAGGCCCCACACTGGTCCCCAGGACATGCACGGATATGAAGGCGTTGAGTCAGTGTCAAGAGCAGTGGGCTGTGGCTCCTCTGCCAAACAGGGCACTGGACACACAGTGGGACAAGACTTTCCGAGGTTAGAGCAGGGGGTCAGAGGAGACACACAGAAGGAAAAAGAAACAGAAAGCTTGGTCCTCACTTCTTCAGGCCGATACAGCATACTTTTATTGAGCACCTAAGGAACTGCCACAGGAGAGCAGAGACAATAGGGCAGTGGGCAGGCCTCCCCTGGCATCTCTGTGTCTCTGTGACAGCGGAGCTATGTCACGGGAATCCTGGTGTGACGTTGACCCCGATGAGTGGCTCCACATGGCCTGGCTGCTCCCAAGCTCTGCTCTTTATGGGCGCCCATAAGGAGCGTCTCCACACATTGGAGACGGAGTCGTACCCATCTTTGAAGGCTTTATGGTTCTGCCCTTTAAATCTGCTATATAAATCCGCTGTCTACAGACCCCGGTGGGAGAAGAGTTTAGTCTTCAGTTTGCTTTGTCTTGGACAAACACTTCACACGACCGATGTAAACTGTTGCATAATTTTGCAAATGCTTTCTCATTCATTCCTGAAATTCTCCATCGTTGACAAACACAAATTGTGCAGTATCTGGCCCCGGGGAATTCAAAGCCCTTTCTCCCAAACAGACGTTTCTCCTTATCATTCTCCCTGGAGAAGAAGTACTGAGAGTCATCCTTTGCCCAGTAAAGGAGAGGAATGCAAGCCCAGAGAGGACAGGAGGCAGACAGCCGTCCACGGGACTGTGGGATGGGGCTGAGCACTGCCTTCCAGAGCCGCTGCGGGGCATCCACCTGGGTCAGCACCCTTTCAACGTAGTGTGAACCGCCCCCCAATGGGACCGCATTGTGTTTCTTCCAGCTTCTCACAAGGATTCCTTCAAATCTTGCTGATGAAGTTAAGACTGATTTCTGCAGAGGGAAGGTGGTCTTATTCCTGCTCTCACCTCTGCCCCCAGGGGCCAGGTTGTGCAAGGCTCATGGGTGACATCGGAAGCTTGGAGGCTGGGCACACCGTGGAGGCAATGGCTGGGAGCAGGGCAGGTCCCATACCTGCTGGCAGTCCCTGCTTTTCCCAGCAGAGTTCCTGTGTGGCAGCATGACGTGAGTGTTGACAGGGATCTCGTGGTTCACGCAGGGGCTCTGGGCCAGGCACTGAGCAAGTGGATAAAGCCCGTGCCCCAGGCACTGGTCCAGTACTGCTCTCCTGAGCAGGAAAGGTGTGGCATGGGCAGGACTGGCCACGCAGATCCCGCCTGGCGATCTGGGTCTGCTCCCTGTGAGTGCTCGCTTCAGCGCCGAGAGCTAGGGCTGGGGGACTCGTGGTACTTGGGCTTCAGACAGGCGGAAGCACAGGTGCAGACTGCTCAGGTGGCGGCCGTCATCGGTGTGACCAGCCAGGGCCCTGCCGCCGGGGCTCAGGTGCATCTGCTGCTGCTAGAGCCTTCGGAAGCGGCAGGCGCTGGCCAGCTACTCACCCCCTACCAGCTGCTCCAGGCGCTGGAGCATCGTCAGACGCAGGGCTTGGAACCTGGAGGGAGACACCGCCAAGGGGAGTCACTGAGCCGGACGGGACAGGGAGGTGGGGCGCAGAGCGAGGGATGCACAGATGCCGATCCAGGAGACCCCTGCCCCCGACAGGTTGACAGAGGCCACTGCCTCTCCTCTGCCACGGAGGAGGCAGGCCCTGGCTTGTGTCCTGAAGGAGCAGTCAAACAGGGCTGTGGGCAATGCAGGAATTCAAAGCAAAAACTTGCCATTTCTACTGCAAAGACTCTAACAGGGACGAGAGCACGCTGCAGTGGACAGGGTGGCAGGGCTGGGACTGGGAAGCTCGTGTTCCGGCCCGGCTTTGCAATCGCCTGAGTCTGCAGCCTTCCTCACCTGGGCCTCAGTTCCTTCTCTGCACACTGAGCAGAAGGACTAGTGGGCTCCCGGGTCCCTCCCAGTTCTCAAGTCCTACAGTGACACGACCGACTGCACAGCGATGGTTCCCTCGGACTGGGGTGTCCGCGGACTCGCCCTTGGGGCCTGACTGCACACATGAGGGCCAAATCCACACCCAGCCCCTGTCCCCAGGCCTGCGCAGTGAGGGGCCTGCCCTTCCCTCCCTGAGCTGCCCTCCACCCGGGCCCTGGCTCAATGCCCTCCACAGGTCTTGCTCCACGCTTCGCCTTGCTGAGGAAGAGACGTCATCGGGACCCACAGCCTGACTAGTCTCACATAGCCGGGCCCTGATGTAGCTTCCCCAGGAGCCAGCAGGTGACACCTGCTCACCTTTCCACTGAACTAGTCCCCTGCAGCTGAAAAACATCAGCTGGTGCTGGGAATTCCAACGGCTGGCACTTTTGGGCGGGCTCGGGATCCCTGCTCGTTCGAAAGGTCCCGGAGCAGGCCGAGCCCGCCCTGGCGTGCCCTCTCCTCGGCTGCTTTTCCAGGAAAGCTGGATCCAGTGCCCACCTGGCCCCTGCCTCTGACTCCCCTGCCCAGCTTTTGCAGCCTGTGTCCTGTGCTGGTGAAGACGCCAAGGCTGGGCAGGTGGTTGGGGCTGCATCTCTGCCACGTCTGCAGACTGTCACCGCGGCTTGGTGGCAATAATGAGCAGGGGGCCAGAGAGTGACAGCAGGGAGCCAGGATTAGCAGGCCCCCCCAGACAGCCAGGGCAGCTGGCGCAGGGGAGGAGAGGAAGCTCAGGCCTGGCGCTGCTGGCCTCAGCCTTGCGCTCGCCTGAGGCTGGGCCCCCCACTGGCTGTTTAGTGCTGCTTACTTCATGGTCAGTTTCATTATTTCTCTTTCCTCCTCTTCTTTTAATTTTTCAACAAAACTGTCCAGCACCGGCATTTCAAACTTAATGTACTGAGCAACCTAGAAAATCCAAGAACATTTTAATGTGCTTTAAATTATAAGCCAAAATGTGTTTTCTTTTCCTTAAGCCTTCCTCAGTGGCCCGTGGGGAAGTAACTGCCCTTCTCCCACCCTGCCCAGCACTGCTCCGCAGGGTAGGAGGACGGGAGGATGGGGGAGTCCACTCTTCTCTCGAAGGCAACTATTAGCCCGGGAGGAAATGTTAAGCTGAATATCAGGAAAAGCATTCGGTCCCACAGCGTCGTCACACCGGGTGTTCCCCGGGGCTGGGGCCGGTGGCGGCGGAGCACCACTGTTTCTGACAACGGAAAGGAAGGCCCAGCCCTGTGGAGGGCCTGCGGGATACGGGGCCGCCGGCCTTCTCCTCGGGGTCTAAGCTCTGCCAGCTTCTTTTGCACGGAGGAGTTCGGAAATGCGCTCGCCCCAGCGGGACTCAGGCAGGTGGGTGAGACGGAGACCCCGCCCTCCTGCCCCCTTTCGCAGGCTCTAGCTCGGCCCGGTTAAAAGCCCTCCTGAGTCTCTAACGCAATGACAGCAAAGTACGCGCCAGTGAAGGAGGCTTTACTTGCCTGAGAGGAAAAGGGCAGAGCCATGTTTCTTCCTTGCCCTGAGCTGATGGCGCTGGTGGCCACTGACAGGAAGGGGGGCTGGAGCCACCACTGTGCTGGGCTCGAGCCCCTCAGAACAGCTGTGGAGCCCCCGGAGCCACGGCCTGAGCGGCTCTGGCCAAGGTCACCTTCAGATCCCTCCCCAGCCTCGGCCCCACTCACCTCGTGGGGCACCTCCACGCCCAGGTCAGCTTCCATCAGGAATATCTTGACGATCTTCTCACACGGCCCGTGCAGGATTCTAGAAATCAGCGGGTACTCACAGTCTCTTAATTTTGTCCGCTCTGAAAAAGAAGATGGTTTACAAAGTTCATGGTACATTAGCGTTGCCTCCCTTTGTTCCAGAACAGGAACTGATAGAAGGTGTGTGTCTAGGGTCCCAGTGAACCCTCTCCGACCTCGCTGAGGACGCTGCCCTGAGACCCTGTGATCATGCTGACCGGGAGCGGAACACGCCGCCCCCAAATCCGCCACTGTGGCGTAAGGATTTTGCTGAGCTGAAGGCAGCTGAGAAGAAGCAGATACACGAAAAGCTCTGTCCTCCCCTACTTGCCTAGAAGCAGGACTTGCATTTCTCACAGTGTCCCTGCTGCCCGCTCTACCAGGAAGCACAGAGTTGATCACCAGAGACAGCCCTAGAGCCCGATCGGCCCCAGAGGGCCCCAGAGGGATCCCACAGCAAATCTTGCTGAGGCCAGCCCTCACCTTCCAGCTCCCCATGGGGTGACCTGCCCAGCGTTGGCCTGCCCAGACACTCAAAGCCCTCTCCTCTATCTTGTCGCTTCCCTAAAAACGTACTGTTCTTTTGCTAAGGTGCTGCATAAGCCCCCGCTCAGCCCTGGGTGTTCCTGTGGGTTTGCGGTTGCAAAGTTAACAAACTTCTGGTTGTTTTTCTCCTGTCAGTCTCTTTTGTTAATCTAATTACAAGGCCTCAGCCAATGAACCTAAGAGAGAAAAGATTTTCTTCCTCCCCCAGTGTCATTCTGCAAAGGCCCAGCAGGAAAAGCAGTATCTGAGCAGGTAGGGGAGGGACGAGGGGCAGGACCCTGCTCAGTGACCAGCCTGTGCAGCAGGAACGCTGCAGGAGGGACCTCGGGTTCTGCAGCAGCAGCCTGACATGGCCCCCACCCCTCCGACTGAACTGCAACCAGCTAGGGGTCCTTTCGTTTCACTCGAAGAGCTGGAGAGGGTGGCTTCCCATTCACTTCCGTGGGACGGTGGAAGAGATGGCAGGCGTGCACGGGTGTGGACTGGGGAGAAACGTTCATGGTGGGAGGCACGGCATGTCCCCCGGTGAGGATGGCCCCTCAGGGGAGGAGGAGAATAGTGGTGAGCTTGCTGAATGGCCAGGGACTTTGGTGCTTTTATGACCCAGAAGCAAAGGCCGACACTCACCCCCGGACTCGTGAAGGATGTAGAGCGCAAACTCACTGGGGCCGTCTTCCACCTGTGCAGGCAGTCACAGGAAGTCAGACCAGTGTGCTTGGAGATGAGAGAGAACAGGCAGGGTCCCCTCGCAGCAACCACACCCCCGGTGCCTCACACACAAGTCCCCAAGGGCCCTCCCCCCTCTCCTCTCTCGCTGTTTAAAATCCCAGGGACCACAGCTCTGCAGAGGAAACCTGGCTAGAACTTCTACCCGGGAGCTGCTGGCGGCTTTCCCAAGCCTGTCCAGCCCGCCCTCCCCCAACAAAACAGCCAATCACCAGTGCCCCGGTGCAAGGCCACTCACGGCCCGACTTACCCTGAACTTGTTCAGCAGCAGGGTGAGCACGTGTGGGGTTGTCATGGTGCTGTTGACCCTCACGTTGGTCACGGACCCATAGGCCGGAGTAAACACGGAGGTCTGTGTCGGAAAAGGGGGCAGTTCAGAGCAGGTCCAGAGGGGGCATGGGGCTGACATCACTGTGCTGAGCAGATCCAAGCAGGTGACTCTGGGCTCTGGGAACACCTGTGCCTGTCTGTTCACGCAGGTGCATACAGAAGCTCTTCCCAGGCCTAGGGGGTGCCAGGGAAGCTGCGATAGTGCGTGTCTTCCAGAGGCCCTAAGGAAGATGCCTGCACACCCATAGGCCGCCCTCTCTGGATCCGAGGAACCAGGACCCCGGAGGTGACTCACAGGGGTGGGGGAACCAGTCTCTGCCTCAGTGTCTGTCGATTCTGAGACTGAAAGTTCCCCAATCTGTCTCCTCCTCCCCATTCTCCCAGCAGGGCTGAGCAGACTCTTGAGCCACACTGCGTCAGCTCCCCAACCTGTCCCCGTCTAGTCTCCCTCCCTCCAAGCCATTCTCCACACTGCTGTCCAAAGGCACCACCTCTCGGAATCCTTGCAGCTCAAAGTGTGGTCTGCATCAGCTGCAGCGACTTGCAGCCTCAGCCCCCCACGCCCAGACTTTCTGCGTCAGAAGCTGCGCGCGGAGAACGCCAGGCCACGCAATCTGTGCGGTGCGGCGTGAGCAGCACTGCTGAAAGCGCAGTTCTGAACACATCTGCAGGCTTCCTGTGGCCCACACAACGCTGTCAGTAGCTCCTCTCGTTGTCACGTCCATATGACCCCACGATCCTCTCACAAGCACCGTGCTCCAGCTACATGGGCTTCTTCGCAATTTGGGGGGCCACATTATATCCTTGCAGGTATCTCGCCTTTGCCTATGAGACATCGTATGTGAAATCAACCGGGACGTTGCCTGATGCGTAATAACAGGTCCTCAATAAACACTAGCCACGCATCGAACGTGCTAAGCATTTTACATACAATCTTTGATTTAATCCTCGCCACAGCCCTTTGAAGTACCTATAACTCGTCCCTTTTTCTTAGAAAGGGATCAGAGGCTTGGGGAGATTAAGTGGCTTGTTCAGGGTCACCAGGTCACCTATGGAGAAAGGACAGAGCCACGACTCGAAGGGCCCTGTGATGCCCGAAACTCCACTTGGTGCTGGTGCCTCCCAGCAAGCGCGAGTGCTCTGCGGGCGAGCTTCTCCTCTTTTCCAGAACCAGGTTCACATGTGCATGTCCTTCCACTATGGTCCTAGCTCTGCTTTCCCAAGCAGGCAGCTGAGTCTCAGGGTTCTTAAGGGACGTTCTCAGTGTCCCCAGCTGGTCCCCACTCTGGTAAGTACAGGCATACCTTGAAGATATTGTGAGTTCGGTTCCAGACCATCACGGAAGTCGAGTATCACAATAAAGTGAGTCGCACTAGTTTCTTGCTTTCCCAGGGCATACGAAAGTTATGTTTACCCCACACAGCAGTCTAGGCGTGCAATAGCATTATGTCTAAAAATGCACATAACTTAATTAAAAAGTACTGTACTACTAAAAAACGCTGACAGAGACGCAAACAGAACACATGCTGATGGACCTGCTTGATGTAGGGTTGCCATAAACTGTCAATTTGTAAGAAGCGCAATAAAAGGAGGTATGCCTTACCAGGGTCAGACTCAAACCCAGACCTCTTTCTCCCCGTCTCAATTCTAGTTGAGACATAGAATGACCGTGGGTTTTACAGAAAGCCAGAATTAGGCTTTCAGTTCCCAAAAAATACGAACTAGAGGAGTCAGGCTAATTCAAAGAGACACGAGGTCTTGTCAACAGGACATTGTTAGTGTTTCTTCCGCATGAAGCCTTTTCTCAGGGTGACACCAACCAACTCCAAGCAGGAACAAAGGTCCCCTGGCTGCTTTCTCATCTCTGACCACAGATGGCACTCTCTAACGGAACACATTAAATTCCAACAGGGCAGGGCAGAGCAGTGGGAACAGCTACAAAGTTAGACCCAGTCTGGAAATAAAACCAACATCGCTGTGAATCACAACAGTTTTGGAAAACGCGAGAGTGAAATAATGGTGCACAGTTCCAAGAAATAAAACCCGGAACAGCTACCCCAGAAAGCCAATGCCGGGAATTATTTATTTTTTAATTATTGTCTGTGACTCAAGGAATCTGTACCCTTATTTCTAAGAACACGAATTCTGTGAGAAAGATGGCTTTTGTATAGGGTTTCCCTTCGGGAGCCCCTTGGTCACCAGGAGATGTGAATCAACTGTCTGAAATACCCGAGACACCATTCCATGTCCTGGAGGGAGTGGGTCACACTCCTCAGGGAGATTGTGACTAGAAGGCACAGCCACCTGCCCGGGCCTCGGCTGAGCCCAGGTGTCCGGCTGGCTGCGCAGCTCTTCTTGGCAGGTGGTTCAGATGGAGGGAAAGGCTGTCACTGGAGCCTTGCTGTCCCCTCCTGCTCGTTTCAGAGGCCACAGAGTGGGTGAGACATCGTGTCCCTGTGACGTCTGCACTGACCACAAAAAGGTTTAATGTGCCAGACATAACTCTTAGAGGTGAACGAGACCGTGAGAGAAGAGGTGGATACGGCAAAGCCAAACCCACCGTCCCATGCCTTGAATCAGGGAGCCCAAGACTCCTTTTTTAGGAATGTAGAACTGGAAAGAGCCTAAACCCAGGCACGTGCTTTCTGAAAATTTTTGAATGATTCCTTAAAATAGCGTATCGATATTTATCCAAACACTAACAATTGGTGCTTAACCCTTTGTAGACGAAATCCTTTTTGGAACAAGATTTAAAGAATACCCAAGTCATATTACGGGTCCTTTAGCTAATCTACATCATTCTTAATCTCCCTTGCTCTCTGCTTGACTTCAGTGGAGGCTCCCCCTTCACTCTCTCAGGAGACTCTACTTTGAAATAGTCCTGGGTTTTCCCGGATTGGCAAAGGCAACCTCGTGGTCATTCTGTCACGCCCACTGCAAACCCAGCAGAGGGTGCAAAGGAGGTCCTGAGATCAGAGCAGTGTCCCTTGAGCTTGTCGAGCAGAATTTGGCTTCATCCCTACGTCCAGTGTGCCCCAAGAGCGACTTGAATGGCCCCTGGAAGGCCCGACCTGAGCTCCCTGCTCTGACCCCGAGCCCTCCCTTCGCCTCGGCCCCCTGTCCCCATGAGTCAGCTACCAATGAGGACAGCTGCCTCAACTGGAAACCTCTGCTTTCATTTCCCAGCGCGGCAGGCAGGATGTGGCCTGTCACAGGACACTCCCTCCGGGGCCTCGCCCGGACTGCCACTCACCCCATTTAGGGTAACAATCAATGTCTCCTTTTACAGTACAGTTTGTTTATGCAGTGATGTAATCTGGGAAGGCCATCTCTTCCTGAGGTCAGTACAATGCCTCCTTGGACAAAAGGCAGAGTGCTGGGAATCGGGCACTGTCTGGGTTCTCTGGGACACGCACACAAGGACCCTGGGTACACTGCGGCTTAATCTACCCAGTGAGGGCGATGGCCGGAGACGCTGTTCCCACGGAGCGGCCCACCGAGCTGGGGTGGGAGCCTCGCCGAGAATGGCCTCAGCATTGCCGTCTGCCTCGGGCACCCCCCCACGGCTCACTTGCCCCACACCCACTCTACTTGTGTGAATGGACTGCAGGGGGGTATGCTGGGAAAAAATAGGACATGAGCAGGAATGTCGCATTGACAAGACTTTGGGCAAGAGATTTCTCCTCCTGAGAACACGGGGATGACAACAGCCCCCTCTCAGGTCCTGCTGAAGACTAACTCTCACGTGACTATTGTGGGTCCAGCTGTGCCTGTGCTGGGGCATGGCTCCCCACGCACCCGCGTCAGGGCCCAGAGGAAAGGCCAGGCCGGGACATCGTCACCTTGTGATTGTAAAAGTGCCCGTTGATGGAGAACCGGTGTCTCCGGAGGCGCTGGGCCTCGCCGGGCGCGCGGCACTTGGGCCTCCTCTGGATCATGCAGCTGGCGTCGCTCTTGGTGCGCATGAGCTGTGGGATCTCCTCGTCCTCCTCCGGGGGCCCTGCAGTGAGAAACGGGCGAGAGGGTGGCCAGGGGCGAGATGCTGACACGGCGTCCGCGTGCCGTCTGCGGAGTCTGGCTCCCTCGAGCCTCATGGCCACATCGTGCTGGAGCAGACAGTGACCTGAGTGCGTTCCTAGGGCGGAGGCTGGGGTAGGGCTGGCATGATCCCCAGTTTGCAGACAGGACGGTGAGACCCAGCACAGGGTAAGCCATGCCACAGTGCCACCCTGCTCTCTGTCTTGGGGCACCAGGGGAGGTCTTTGGTGGCCCCAGCCCAGTCCTCTGAGTGCCCACTCTGGACAAGCCCTTCCCTGAGTACGAGGGAAGGGCACACAGAGGACAGGCGAGCAGTTACTGATTCCAGAGGCCCTGGAGGCTTGGGGGCCTGGAGGGCGCCGTGCCCCCTGCTCACGCTCCTCCTCTCTGTAGAGCAGCACAGGGCAGGGGGTTCAGGCCGCCGGCAAACTATGTCACCTGTGCAAGCTTCTGCTTTTTTTCCCACAAAGAGGAGCAAGTGGGAATGTGCGCGGAGTGCTCACAGGCGGGCCCCTGAGTAGGCGTTCAGCCAGGGCAGCTCCCGGAGACGCACCAAGCTGCTTGCTGCTGGTGCGCAAAGCCGTTCTCTGCAGACTGTGGCTGTGAGCCGCGCCCCTCCTCTCCCACCCCGATGAGATCGGCCCCAGGCACCTCGCAGGCTCGGCTCACCTGCGCTGTCCCTGGAACTCTCGGCCTTGCGCGCTGGCTGAGTGCCTGGCTCCTGGGCAGTGACCCTGCCATCCTGGGGAGGTGGCTCCTTTCTGAAAAGAGACATTCTTGGTGCTCCGATGGCTATGGGCAGAGAAAGGGCACTCAGGCCCGAGAGAGGAGACCACTGGCCCCTGGGGACAGGACACGGGTGGGAAGCAGGCCAAGTTGAGACGTGGATTTCACACCATGAGAGTCCATTTAAAACAATACAAGGAAAGGAAAGGCTTCCCACGGTGTCTGCTGGGAGAAGAGTGAGTCCGGCCCTGCAGACCCGAGCGGCCTGTGCTGGGCCGTGTCGCATGGACACATGGACACATGTGCATGGCCGGGGCCCTGTGTTCCTGTCCCAGGGTTGGCTGGGCCAGCCTATGCGCAGCCGCGTGTCAAGTGGGTTGCTGGACTTCCCAAGGGCCTGGTGGGGTGTCGGGCAGGGGCATCCTTGAAGGGGCCAACTTAAGGGCATCTCGGCAGGATAGACCCCAAGGCAGGGCAGCTGGTGCCAGGCTGGAGAAGGAATGGGTGTGACGGGACGTGGCCTCACAGTCCGGGGGAGTCGGGGACAGCAGACAGAAGGAGGGTCCTGGGGAACACGTGGGGCAGAGCCCGCGGCTGCTGTCTGTGACTGCTTTCACCTTGAGGGAGGGGACGCATGGGTCACACTTGCAGCCCTTTACGGAGTCTGCAGTTATGCGCTAAGTCTGGCGGCTCAGAACTCGCTGTGAGTGGCCAGGGATCCCTGGGCATGTGCAGGCGTCAGCATGCTGAGTGCTCGCAGAGCATCAGCTCTACTTGGACATTGGAAGGAGGCAAAGCCCTGAAGGGGTCGTCACGTGCGGGAGCACGCCGGGCTCAGCCGCTAGCTGCTGTTTCTGGGGCTGGGGAGCGGGAGGAGGGACATGCCCATTAAACGGTGAGGCAGGTGGGAAACCATTTCCTCCTGATGGAAATGTTCTTCTGAAAATAAACAAATCTGATCTGAAATTCCGATAACTTGTAAAAATAAATTTGGACATTAAAATAAAAACAGAGTGTTAGGCTAAATGTGTGTGAATTTTTAAGACAGAAGAGGAGACGCTGAGCAATGCGTGGGTGTTGGAAGCCCCAGCTGCAGCCTGCTCCTCTTGCCAGCAAGGTGGCTCGTGTGTGAGTGTTTGAGAAACATGAGTGGAGGTGACGGGAGCCCAAAACGTCCCCCAGGAGGGAGAGAGAGAGGCAATGTGGCTGTCATCCGGGACAGCCACCCGGGGTGAGGCTGGGTGCTGGGGCCCAGGAGGACCGAGAGTGGCAGTCACGGGACATGGGGATGGGGCTGGGCCATGTTCCCATGTGAGTCCCCTACAGGAGCAGGGCTTCTGCCCTGAGGCTGAGGACATCCCCACACCACAGAAGTGGAGCTTGCGTTGTTACAGAAGGTGTCACAGAAGCCAGCCGGCCTGGCCGGGCACTCACGGGTGGCTGCTGGGCCGTGCGGGTGCCCACGACGCTGAGGGGAGGTGCACGCGCTCCCGGTCGTCCTGCACCTGCAGTCGGATGGGCCGCCTGAGTCCCCAGGCGATGCTGAGGAGCCCCTCGACGATCAGAGCCCCTTCTTCCTGTGGGGGACACAGAGGTCATCCTCCACCCCCAGGACAGTCACCCTCAGGGGTCGCTGCCCATCCTCCCTGCAACCCCTTAGGGGTCGGACACCCTGGACACTCAGGCCCCAACACAGCCTCCTCCTTGGCGTCCCTTCCTCTCCCGGGAAAGGGCCATGAGCCTCCGCGCGCAGTGGCGGGAGGCCTGGGCCCTGCGGGAGGAAGCCGGGGGCGTGCCTCCCACTGCTCAGCTCCGCCTGGCCGGGGCTCATCCAGGGACAGAGCGGCTGAGTCAGGTGTCCCACAGGAACCCAGCTGCTGTCCAGAAGGCACGTCCACTCCTCGGGCAAGGAAGCGGTTCCAGGGAAGCGCAGCCCGGTGGCTCGTGCCAAGCAGGATGCCTCTCTGCCCACACCGCACCTGGGCAGGGGGTCCAGAGGTGGCCCTTCCACACGTCCTGACAGCAGCAGTGCCCACTCGCCTGGGCCGAGCCCACCCCTAGATGTCCAAGCTGGATTCTTTCCTGTTGGCCGGTCTTGCTTTTCTCACCACCACTGGGTCACTACTAGCCCCATGTCCCACGACCAGAATTTCTACAACAGCCCTCATCCCATGTCCCCAGCCAGCCTCGGTTTCCCCAGGTCTGCAGATAGCACGGCTCCTCCCTGATGCTGAACTTGAGGTCCTAATGGACAGAGTCCTTTGCAGGCACCTCAGGCTGCCTCTGGCTCGCATCCTTTGCGTCCTTGATTCTGCGTCTCTGACCTATTCCCGGCCCCCGTCTCCGTATGACCACCCCAGGCTCTCGGCTCCCGTCCCGACTACCCCATGCGTGACTGTGGCCAAGCTGCATGGCTTGCACCCTCACAACACCTGCCAGAGCCTTCTTGGCTGCCCTCTCCCCAGAGCCACGGGCTCCCAGCTACGAACTCCCAGTCTGCTTTGACACTAGGTTCTGCAATGGACTTTAAACATCGTTCTCCCATTGCTGTCTCAACCAACATTTTATTTCACTACTTATTTATTTTTGACTGTGTTAAGAACTTCTGACATGAGGCTCACCCTCATAACAAACTTTGAAGCGCGCGATGCAGTGTTGTTCACTGAAGGCCCACGCTGTCCCTTAGGTCTCTGGAACTTACCCACCTTGTGTACCTGAAACTATAGACCCGCTGAGCAGCGGCTCCCCCAGCCCCTGGCCGCCATCATCCTCGTCTCTGCTTCTGGGAGTTTGACTAATTTAAATTGCTCACATAGGTGGAATCACGAAGTATTTCTGATGAACATTGTAGGTTCACAAATTTCATTTCTCGCTCCTCGCTGGCACTGAAGGATCGGTGAGAACAGGGACCCCACGGCGACGCCCTCACATCCCTGGCGGCCCTCACAGAGGAGCTCTGCGCAGGCTGATTTCACGGCTGGTTAGCTACGGCTTCTAGTTTCAAACCGCCCGCTCTCCATGGAGAAAATTGCTGTGACGTTATGAAAATTCCCCCTGGTTTTTTATGTGACCTTGCACTATTTGCTAAAAAAGGAAGGCAACGGGGACCCGGGGTTTTTTTTGTTTTGGGGGCGGGCCGGGGTTTTTTCGGTTGGGGTTGGGGTTGGGGCGGGGCTTTTGGTCTTTTTTGGGAGTTGCCGGTTGTTGGTTTTTTCCCAGGGGTTTCCCCGGGGGTTGCCCCCTTGTTCTTTGGCGGCTTCTTGCCCGGCCCGTTCCCCCGGCGTTGGGGTTGGTTTCTTACGGCGGCCGGGTTTTTCCTTGGCTTCGGCTTTCCCCCTTCCTTTCGGCCCGGCGGCGGCGGTTGGGGCATTCCTTTGGGGCGGAGGCCGGCTTTTGGGTTCTTTTTTCCGTTGTGGCGTTTTCTTTCTGGCCTTCGGGGGGGGCCCCGGGTTCCTTGCGGGGTTCCCTTGCCTTCTTCTTCACGGGCCAGTCACGCGGGCCCTTGCTTCCCCCGAGCCCACCGGCACGCTCTCAGCGGGGCCTTTGCACGTGCTGCCCAATCTGCCCGGCACGTACACGCCCCCGTTTTTTCAGATCTTTGTTCCAGTGTCCCTTCTTAGGGAAGACACTCCCGACCACTCTACCTACAGCGGCAGCCTGTCACCCTGTCCCACTGCGCTGCTGTACTTCCCTTCGCAGCTGTCATCAGCACCTGCGACCACAGCTCCTATCCGTCGCCGGCTCGGTCCTGCCCCTGCCTGGAACGTGAGCTCCAGGGGCCACGCCTTTGTTCACCGCTGTGTTTGCTGCGCCTCGAGCAGTCACCGGCAGGCAGTGGCACGACACATCTGGTGAACAAGTGAACAAATTCTCCTTTGAAAGCACCACATCTGGGGTGTAGCAAGACCAGGACCAGAACCCACAGGCTGCCCTTGGTCCCCCCCATCAGAGGTAGGCATGCCGCGCCCCGGAGCAGGCCCAGGCAGCCCGGCCTCGGCCACCTCCAGGCTGGGGCCCTATATGGCTGATGACTCATCAAGGTCACTTCCCAGGTGGACCCGGCCCTGCCTCACAGGTGCAGGCCCAGGGCTGCGCAGGAATCAGCCAAAGGCCAGAGTGTCCTGGGGCCCTGGGGTGTTGTCTGATACCTAGTGGGGGATGCTTCCAGGCAGTGGTGGCAGACCCTGGGGCTGCCTGCGGGGGCCCAGTGGAGCCCCCTGCCTCTCCCAGCACCCCGAGGTGGCCAGGAGTGATGCCGGCCCCCCTTCACCCTGCAGCATAAACATTTCCGAGCCTCCCACAGGCACAAACACATGTTCCGGGCTGGCAGCTGGGCCAGGCCCCACCCACCAATCTGTTTTCCTCAGAGAGCCTTCCTGAACGTTGCTATTTTTAGCTCTCGTGACAGTAGTTGATGGCTGTTGGAAAGGTATAAAAGCAGCCGCCAGGGCTCGTGGTTTGCCAGACAGCTCAGGGAAGAGCCTTCCACTGTGGACCGCGGGCCTCGTCCCCTCGTCCTCCTCCCAGGGATCCCACACCGGACACGGGGCTCCAGCTGCCAGACCCCACCCGGCCTCCCGAGAGCTTCGCAGGGGCTTCCTTTGGGCTGAACTCTTCCTGGTTGTCCCGCCCCCGCCACCCCCAGACCCCTGAGCCACAGGTAAGAGGGAGCAGCTGCCCCTGGTTTGAGACAAAACAAGGGCTTCGTTTAATCTTTGAGGGCAGTTCCCAGCCTGGACTGGTGCCCCCACCGCCGCAGGTGAGAGACCAGGGCCGTGCGGTCTCGGAGCGCTTGGTGTTTACAAAGGGGCCGAGGTGTCATTTCATGCGATTCCCGCGGCATCCCCATCGGGCAGGCGTTTACCGCCCCTGCTATGGATGGGTACGGGGCCCGGAGAGGTGGCCTTGCCAAAGGTCGCAGGGTCAGCACATGGCAGATCCTGTTTTTCAACCCGGGTTTCCTCTGACCCTGCGTTTGTTAGGTTGGGTTCTCTTATTTGTGCAAACTCTGAAACAACAGTAATAATAAAGTCTTAAGCCCGTGGGTTTTTAATGTCAGCAGGAAGGAAGGACCCAGGAGTCCGAGCCCTGGTCTCAGCTCAGTAGACTTCGAACTGCTCTGAGAGCACCTAGATCCTCCAGGCAGCCCCAGATGAGGGAGGCGACACCACAGGGGGTGTCAGGATGGCATGGCTCTCACCACCTGTCCTCTGTTAACCAACAGGCTGACGCATCCTCTCGCCGGTACCAATGAGGTCCCGGCTTCTGCTTTCTGTGGCCCATCTGCCCACAATTCGGGAGACTACGGAGGAGATGCTGCCTGGGGGGCCAGGGCAGGAGCCCCCAGCCTCGCCCAGCCTGGACGACTACGTGAGGTCCATCTGTCAGCTCGCGCAGCCCACCTCTGTACTGGACGAGGCCATAGCCCTGGGCCGACCCCGGCCGCCCCACCCGCTGGCCCAGGCCCGCGAGAAGAGCTCCCCTGCCCCGTCCCTACAGGACATCGCCCCCCGTTTCAGTGGCCGGCAGCCCACACTGCTAGAAGCCAACACTGTTGACCCCCTGGACTGGCTCTTTGGGGAGTCCCAGGAAAAGCTGCCAAGTCAGAGGGACCTGCCGAGGAGGACCGGCCCCTGGGGTCTGCACAGACAGATGGACAGTGGCAAGGCCAGGGCTGTGCCCAGAGGGAGGCTCCGTGAAGCCAGGGCGCCTGGGCACTCCCTGGCACGACCGTCGTGGGACGGGCGCCAGAGCTCCAACCTGAGGAGCCAGACTTCTGGGCAGCCTGGCCAGGCCGTGGCCTCCCCCCGCCCAAGCAGTGTCCTCAGAACGCTCTACTCTCTACTCCCAGTGATCCATGAACTCTGACCCCACCCCAATAAAGCCTCCCGTAAAGAGCACACCGGGTCCGCGTCTCCTCCCCCGCCCTCCCCGCTGGTGGAGACTGTCCCTGGCGGGTCTCTGGAAGGGAAACACACCTCTGCAGGGCTGCCTACTTGGGCAATTCATAGCGAGACCCCTCACTGTGCGCAGCGGTGACAGCCTATCTCACACGAGGGGACGAGGGGATGTTACTGCACATTGCTCTGGCCCTTACTGGTTTTTCACTTTGAGCGAGTTTCTTAATGTCTGTTCCTCAATTTTCTCGTGGGTAAAGTGAGGTGGTTGCTGGGACCTGCCCCCAGGCCATTCTGCTGAATAAATGCATGTTATCAGCCCATACGCTGAGTAGCTATTGCTCTTGGTCACGGGTGGGGAGAGCAGTGGTAAGGGCGTGGGGGTACGGGGGTCCCAGACTCGCAAGTGGTTTCAGAGCAAGGCCCTGGGCACTCCCAAGTCAACCTTTTGGCCCCCACACTCAAAGCCCATGTTCTGTGAGGCCCAAGAGAAAACATGGAGTCCTTGGGGACTTGTCATCTGGGTGCACCCAGGACACTCTGCTGGCTCCAACTCACAGGTCCTGTGGTAGCATTTGGAGAGTTCCCTACGCTGAGGGCCAAGACAGAGCCTGCACCACTCAGCCCACAGGGCGCCAAGTGCCTGGACCCGCGGCCTGGTCCCCACTCTCCCCACCCCTATCCACTGCCTCCCCCTGGGGGCCTCGCTGCAAGGCCAGGCTGTCACCCAAGGGTGAAAAGTGGAGCACTGCCCAGCTGCCCTGCACCAGGCAAGCCCAGATGTCTCGAGGCCGAGGCCAGCCTGGCCAGCCCTAGGTCCCCTGCAGCCTGGAGAACCCCAGTTTCTGGAGATGTCTGGCAGGCAAGGGGGTGAAGGTGGGGAACAGGGGGAGGAAGGATTTCCTTCCTCCGAGAGGTAGGGGTGGCCTCAGGGAACTGCAGACTCCGGTCTGAGGACCGGTCACCCTGCTGCCTTGGGCCAGGCTGGGGCTGTCTGACCCAGCTCAGGCAGAAAGGGACAGAGAGAGGAGGACAGAGCCGTGGGCCCTCGGTCTGCTGAGTCTCCTCCACCTCCTTGCTCTGTGAACTGTCGATCTGTTTTCTTTCTTTTTTTTGTGGCTATTTTTAATTGCTTTGGACTTGTTCAATGTTTATCTGTCCTCTGTCATGTGTGTTTTCTGGGGAGATGGAATATGAATTACAGATTAAAAAGAAAAATTTCAGATAAGCAATTTACTTAGCTTTCTTATCTATAAAATGGAGACACCACCACCATCGTCACACCCTCGAGGGGCTGGGGAAACTGCACAGATGAACTTGGAGAGGCAGCTACAAGCACTGTACACAAATGTCTGCATCTACCACAGCCGGCTGTGCTGCTTTGGTGGCCTCAAACCTGCAGGTCCCTGACCTTCTCCAGCAAATACATGTGGGGCAGCCTTTAGCCAGACCTTCCCCAGGAGAGAGGGGAGGGCTGATCTGCCACGTGGTGCCTGGCTGGTGCCTGGAAGGCCAGGCTTGCTGGGCCGGGTCCCTGCAGCCCCTCCTGCCAAGCAGCAAGAAACAGCATGAAACCCTCCTCCGGCAACCTGGATGACAGGATGACGTTAGTGGACTCCCCCCCACACCACCCCATTAAGTCACACTGTCACACTGCTGCACCTGGGGAGGTCAGGCAGGGCGTGGACACGCGGGACTGGGCTTCCCTGCTAGTCTCCTCTGGGGTGAAAGCTGAGGGTACCTTCGGCAGGTGCCCGCCCCCCCCAACTGAATAGAGGCTCGGGGGAGGGGCATCTGGCCGCGACCCAGGCTCCTGAGGACAGGACAGCCTGGCACAGTTGCTTTCTCTCCACGGTAAGTCCTCCTGGTGGGGGCCCCGATGGCGCATCATCACCTTCCCCACCCCCTTGGCTGCAGTGCGGGATAGGGGATGGGCTGGGGGAACAGGGTGGGGGTAGGGGGCGCCAAGCCCCGCCCAGAGGGGCAGGCTGGGAAGCACAGATGTCCCTGGGGCCGACCCTTCACTCCAGGGGCGAGTGGTATGCCAGGCCTTAGGAGAGCGGACGGGGCGACCCTGCGGGGATGGATCCCGGCCTCCCGCACCCGCACCGGAGGAGAGACACAGCCCCGCCAGGGAGGCGCCCCGCGGTGCTCGCGTGGCTCCGGCGGGCCGGGTGTCATTGCGCTCACGGCCACCAGGGGAGCCCCCGAGCCAGGCCGGTGGGGCAGGTGCGCGCCCGCCCGGGGGGCTCCCGCTGCCCTGGCTCACACCGTCAGTCCGGAGTGATAGGTTACGCGTTCCAGGTGGTCCTTTTCTCTTTTAAGATACCAACCAGCCTGGTTAAAACCCTTTGCCATCTTCGAAACGCTCACCCAGCTGCTCATGCTCCTCGTTGTAATACAAGCAAAATTATCCCAAAGGCAAGGTTTACAATAAAGTCAGGTGAGCCCTCCGCCCCCGCTCAGGAAGCTGGGAGAAGGATCACAGGGAAACGCTTGCCCCTGCCCGCGTTCTGCGGACGCTGGATGTGGCGGTGGAGGGGAAGCTGCCCCCAAACCGCAGTGCTCTGGCTGAAGTTCCTGCAGGGAGGCCCAGTGACAACTGGGAGGGGGTCTCTTCCAGGGCCCCTGTGGCTCTGTGAGGGCGTGCGGGGTGGAGAGTCCCTCACAAGCCTGAGGGCACCTTAGCTTGGGGAACCAAGGGTGACAAACAGCGCCTCTATCAAGTGATGCTCAATTGAGACCCCGAGAGACCTCCAAAGCTTAGTGCTGGAAACGGTATTGCCGTATCGTAAGCGACTGTGCTCAGACTTGGAGCCATGCCGGCATCTTTCATTCATTGCAATGTGACCTTGGACTAGAGACTTAAACTCCAAAAGCCTCGCTCTCTTTGCCTGGAGCATGATAATTCCTACATTGCAAAATTCTTAAATAGAGGAGGCAAAGTGCCTGGTGCATTGGAGGTTTCTTGGGGAATGTCAGTTCCTTTCGTCTGCCCAGCCCTTCGGGCTTGCAGTATCCAAAGAGAGGCCTGCCAGGCGTGGCGCTGCCCCTGCAGCAAGTGCCTGGCACTGTGGAGTGCCCAGAGGCCCAGGAGGCCCCAGGTCTGTAATTTTCAAGATGGGTGGTAGGTAGTCATGGGGCCTCAGTGAGGCCCGGAGACCCCAAGGGGTGTGGTGCCTGCCCCAGGAGCCAGCTGTGTTACCAATATGAGAACTCTGCTTCTCAGGCCTGTGGACTTGTCTTTACAGCGCTGTCACCCCGAAAAGTCTTTCACTTCCTCAGGCAGCCACCCCCATGGCCGTCAGGGCTGCAGAAATTTCCTAAAAGGCACTTTCTGGCTCCGTGGAGATCAGGTCACATCCTCACACACACTTAGGAACAGGAATACGAAAATCCCCCTGTGGGTAACTTCCTGCCACTGTGGGCTGTCGGGAACGCCTCTGCCTGGCTTTGGAGTCCCCACTTCTGTTTGTGGGCTGTCCCGCACCCATGAACACAGGCCCGGGCTGGGGCTTCCCAGCCCACACAGCCCTTCCTACAGAGGGGATTATCTTGGGGAATCCAAGTGCCAAGAGCAAGCTCTTACTGACAGTTCTCAAGCTTGACCCTCCACCAGATGCCAAGGAGGGCTGGTTAAAACACAGACACCGGGGGCCTCAGAGTTTCTGATTCCGCAGGCCTGAGGGGAGGGTGGGGAAGCGGTGGTAAGAATTTGCATTTCTAACCAGTTCCCAGGTGGTGTTGGTGCAGGGACCAAACACAGAACCGTCAGGGCCTTAGATCAATCCCCGAATGGCCTGAGCCTGAAGAGCAGCAGCCCACCAGAGAGCCTCCCCAGACCCCCTGCGGCATACGCCAAGACCCCTCTGGCCCTATCTGCCATTCCCTCTCCCCCTCTCCCTGCTGCCCGGCTCACCAGAGCGCAGGACTCAGGACTCATCCCGTCTCCGCCCGGGCCCGAACCTGCCGGTCAGTCATCCAACAACTCTGCACAGGGACCCGGCTGCGCCTGGCCTGGGAATGCAGAACAGGCTAGGTCTTCCGTGTGCCTCCAGTAAGAAAAGAGCAGAGCCAAGTCGCGAGGTGGAGGGTGGGCTGGGGGCAGGCAGGCTAAGGCAGGTGTCAGAGAAGGCCACTCCAGCGCAGGGCAGAGCGTGAGTGAAGAAGGAGGTAGTGAGGCAGCCAGATGGGGAGGGGAACAAGTTGTCGGGCCCTGTGTGGTGGGCAGGTGAAGGGAGAGTGGGGTATTGGGTTTGTACCATCCCAGGTTGTCACAGGCTGCCTCAGCATGGCCTGGACTGGAGCCAGAAGCTTCCCTTCCATCCGGGCACATATAACCAGAGCTCCTGAATGGTGTCACATCTGGCCTGGCTGAGGGGCACTGCAGGTGGCTGACTGAGGCCGTCTGGCAGGTGGGTTCCAGCCAGCCCCTCACCCTGCTACTGACTGGCCGTTCCCAGCTGCCCAGAGCTGCCTCTGGGCTGAATGTCTGGGCTAGCTCTCTGGTCTCGTAACCGTAGAGGGATGTGTCGCTGTGTGAGTAACTACAGAGGGAAGGCTGGTGAGCGAGTGGTCCCGCCCTGATGAGGTCCGTGGGCTTCCTGGGGCTTGTGCTGCCCATTCCTGGGTTCAGCAATAGAAGGGGAAGGGGGACTCCGAGTCCACCGGCCCTGGTCAGACGCCGATGGATGGAGGAGGTACAGGGCCAACCCTGTGCCCCACATAAGGCCTCCCCATGACAAGCCTGGCCATTAGGTTGTACAAATATGTCGAATTAGACCACGACGGGTGCACAGAGCCCTGACCAAAGTTCCCATGGGAAACACCTGGAGACTCTGGACAGCGGCAAGGCCAGGGCTCTGCTTGGCCTGCCCGGCGCGTGGCTCCCCAAGCCCGGTCCCTGCTGGATGCGCGCTGGCGTCCAGGTGGTGGCCATGGGCTGTGTTTGGCATCAGACATGTTTTGTTGGGCCCACATGGTGTTTCAAGATTTGGGAAATGCCTCATGAAATGCCAGGTGTCTAGCTTCTCGCTGCGCCAGGCCCACGTTCCTGCTCTGCCGTGACGGGTTTGATCTGATGCACGGCTGCCACCTTCAGTGGGGACCCACGCCCCACGCACGCCCTGCCTGGCCCTTCGGCGTCTGAGCTTGTAACCTTGCAGCCCCACATGCAGATGAGGGCACTGAGGACCAGGGGACCCAGGTGAGACCGTCCGGGGATGGCTGGGCTGGTGGGAGCAGAAAGGGACTGACCTCCCCCTGCCCCCTGTGCTGAGTGCTGTGAGGGGCAGCAGGGATGAGTGGCAAGGGCGACCATGTAATTTATTCTCCAAACTGGGTCACTGCTGAGAGCGAAGGGGAGAGTCTTAATAATTACCCTAAAACAGGATTGTCTTCAGCAAAGTGGGGTAAATGGTGGCCCCATGAACAAGGAAGAACAAACAACAGGCCTCACCTCTCTGTGTCTCAGCTGAAAGCTGGTGCCCTCATGGTAGCAGTTGTAGGTTTTCAGCAGGCTCAAGAGCTCCGACCTAAAAACGTAAAGACACACACGGACTCTTGGGGCGTGGCTTTGGACAAAGCCTTTGGCTTCCCTGGCCTTGGTTTCTTCATTTGTCAAAGGAGCACAATGGCACAGGTCTTGCCAGACACACACGATCGATAGGTAGAGAGACCGGACTGGCCGGCCTGACGCACGCCCTTTGTCTTCCAGAGGGTTTTGCAGCTGGGCCCCGGTTGGAGGTGTGGGGGTGGGGCTGAGAAGGAAATGAGACTCACAGGACAGGCCGAGTGACATCTGGGACATCGAGGGTGTTGGCGCACTTTCACTCTTACAGGTGGCAGTCCCTGACAACCTCCCTGACCTTTGCCTCTGAGTCCCACGCTCAGAGTGAACCCCCTGGGCTCGGATTGCTGGCATTTGAAAGGCTCTTGATTTTCCCCACATGACTTCCTCCAAGGGCCTGGAGTGGCTGCTGGGGGCACCCTGAGGGGTGCCTGCCTCTCCCCATCCTGACTTCCAGAGGCACAGTCAAGGGATGAAAACGACCGTCCTGAGAGCACGACCCCAAAGGCCGTAGGGATCAGGACCCAGATGCTGTCTCTCAGCCTAAAGGGACAGCCACAGTGCCCTGGCTGGTGGGAGGCAGAGAGGAGGCCAGGACAGCCCCTGCACCTGGGCTGGGCTCTGCAGGCCAGCAGACGCAAGGTGTGAGCCACTCAGGTGATTGTCAATCTTCCAGTACACGTTAAAAGGGAAAACGAAACAGGTGAAATTAGTATTAATAATACATTTTATTGACTCAATACATCTAAATTATTATCCTGTCAGCATGTGATCGATATAAAAATTACAATATTAATGAGGTGGTCTTGTTCGTTCTTTAATTTCATACAAAGCCTTTGCCACCTGGAGCATCTTTTCTATGAACCGCACCTCCTAGCCATGGCTACGTGTGGCTCGTGGCTCCCCTACTGGACAGCTCAAAAAAAGAAGTACCCCATCACTGTTCCCCAGGGCACACCATCAGTGAAAAAGTGCCCAGAACCCCTCCACCCAAAGGCTGCCAGGTAGGGCAGTGGCCACAAGGAGATGGCAGGCGTGAACACCCCCCTGCCCCACACCAAGGCTTACCTCTGAATGGATTTGCTGTCGCTGATGGGCACGTGAGAACTGGACAGACAATCTTCCTTCATCTTCTCCTCCTCTTGTCTGCAGACGCGGAAGTCACCTGCTGGGAAGACAAGGGAGGGGCACAGACAGGTGAGCAGGGAGCAGTGCGTCCAGAGCAGCGCCCAGCACCTGCAGCCCCGGCACAGAGGCCACTGGCCTCTGTACCACACCCACCTGGGCGCGGGGTGGCCACAGCCGAAAGGGCCAGCCCCACGCCCCACAGCCACATGTCAGCCAAGCTCAGAACTGCTGAGCCAGTGATACTGGTCTTATCAGCCCCCAACCCTGGGAGACTCTCCATAATCCCCACAAATCCAAATCAATCCCCTAAATGTCTCAGACCACGTGCTCTTTTCCCTTGGCTGGGACACTGTGAATGGCGGTGTCTGCCTCAGCCGTTCCTTCCATCCCGGAAAGCTGCCCTGGGCCTCTCGCTTCCCTTCCCGCTGAGTGGTGGAGTCAGTGCACCTGGGCCGGCGCTCTCAGTGGGGGTTCGTGGGTACCGGCTTCACTGCGTGCTGGAGACGTGGGCATTTTCCCTGAATTACCTAGTCCTTACAGCGACATCGCGGGGTGGGTGTCATCGCGCTTCCATTTTATGGATGAGAAAACAGGGACCGAGGCTGAGCACTTTGCCCAAGATGACTCGGCGAGTAAGCTGCCAAGCCAAAGGTGGAGCACAAGCATTTGAACCCCGATTCTGGTCTCCTGCCCCTTCTCTGTGTTGATCTCGGGTAGTGACTTACACACCGAGCCTTCCTTCCCTTATCTGCACGAGTAATCTCTGGCCGACAGGATGGCTCGTGGACTCACACATGAGACTGTCTCTCTGTCTTTCCAGTCACATAATCGACAGGTTTGAGGAGCCGCCTAAGCCCTCCCGGCTTGTCTTTGAGGGCAAATCCACCAGAGCTTTCTCTACCCTGCTGGCGTCTTCCGCATAGGTTCCTGCTTCTCTCCCTCCCCATGTTATTCTTGCTGAGGACTCTCTCTTATCGAGGCCTCCTACAGGCTGGGCAGCGAGGCAAAGCTTCACACACACACACACACACACACACACACGCTCATGCACACACATGCATGTGCACATACATGCACACGGCCAAACACATGCACACACATGTACATACGCACACGTGCTCTCCTGTGCTGACCTGTCTCTACCTCCCGAGTGGCAGGTAGGGGCCCGAGGGCTTACGTAACATTGGGAGGTGACACAGCCTGGGTGCACACTGTGACCTTCCCACCAGGGAGGCTGGCTCATTCACGGCAGCCCACGTCTGTTCACACACACCTGGCTCATCATGTCTTCCTGACGTGTGCGTGTGCAGTTGTTACTGGGGGCCCAAGGTCAGGGCTAACTCCTGTCGTATTTGTCAATGTCCTGGGAGCCCATCACGCAGGGCACTCTGTCCCCTTGGCACTGACGCTGCCCAGTCCAGCCCTCTCCCTCCTTGACACCCACAAACCCCACAAGCCTGCCCACTGTGCTGCATCGGCTCTGAATGAGGTCTGGTTCCAGAAGCAGGGGAAATCGGCTGGCGCAGAGAAGGGGAGAGGCCCGGGGAGGCGGGCTTCCCAGTGACCGCAGGGTCATCCTGTGAATTCCTCCCTCTGCCCTGCTCTGGGGCGAGTCACGTGGGAGCCTAGGAGGGGCCAGTCCCCCAGCACCAGGGCCCCTCCACAGGGACGCAGGGCCGTGGCACCATCGGGACCTGGAGCTGGGGACCTCTGGCCCCGTTCTTCTCAGCAGGGCGACAGGGATTTCTAAATAACGAAGTTCCGGTTCCTCAGCCGGTCAGCTCGCCCGTGGAAAAGTGATCTGCCGGCTCCCTCTCTGGATGGTTCCTCACGGACTCGTGAGGCAAAAGCTGACTCCGGCCCGGGTCGGCCACGCTGTGTCTGCGGGTCCACGGCACAGTGATGCCCGGCTTTAAGCAAGCTCATTATGGGAAGGGCTGGATTCACCCCGACATAGCAGGAGGTGGCTTTTCTCTTGCCTTCCTCTTGTCCAGCTTCCACCCCACTCCCTGCCCCCAGCCCCGGCCTTGCCCAGAGGCTCACAGCTCCCCTAATGACTCTGCTTTTCCCTCCTCTGGGCTTGCTAGTGCTGCTCTCTGTTCAGAACTGGCCTCCGCCTCCTCCAGGAAACTCTCGCCAGAGAAGCCCGGCCAGTGTCAGGCAGCTCCTCCCCCGGCTCCCGGCTGTGCTGGGCACGCAGGGCCTGTGTCTTGTTTGACTCCCCCAGGAGAACAGGGACGCCCCTTCTGCTTCACCACGTGTTTCCAGCAGCAAGCTCAAGCCTGGCAATCAGACGAGGTCTGTAAGCGGTTGTTAAGTTACTGAATGAACACAAGAAGCTTCACGGCCTTCTCCAACGCCCCCTCTTTCAGAGATGTGCATGTACAGCAGGGACAAAAATGTTAAAAGTCTCCAGGGGCCAAGGAAGTGACTCAGCTGAGGGACACTGGTCACACAGTCCTTGGAGAGTTGAGGGACACATTCCTCCTCTAAAGGGGCAGCTCTTCTGGTGTTTCATAAGAAGCCAGAAATCTGGATTTTTATGGGCTTTCGCTGCTTAAAGTTGAGTGACAGTGGCAGACACATTTGCTGTCCCTGGAATTACCTTCCAGGGCCTTTCCCAGCCCCCTGCTGCCAGCTGAGGCCATGGGCCTAATTCCAACCAGTGTGCCACAAACACAAGTGCTGTGGGTCGCTTCCGGGCCAGCACATCTGAGAGCCAGTGTGCAACGCTCCAGCCCACCTGTCCCCTGCCGCGGTGACCCGGGAAGCCACATGTTCCAATTGGTGCAGCTACTCAATGGTCAGCCTGGGTCCCTGAGTGACTCTGCGGACCAGCCACACTGCGTGTGGGCCCGGAGAGAGAAATCAGCCTCTGCCATGATAAGTCACTGATGTGTCGGGGACTTGTTACTGCAGCATAACCCAGCTTATTTACGCATGCAGTAAATAATTCGATTAAAGCAACGTATATATTTAGTTTAATGTTTTATATTTAAATCTATTTAGAAATAAACTGTAGACAGACCAAACCCACTTGCAGAACAGACACACTTAGTCGGGCTCCAGTGTGCGACTTCTGACTCACGACATAACTCGGTTTACAATACTTCCATTCTGTCGCAGCACGTGGGCAACGAGATCATTTTGCTCTGTGTCGTAGGAACATCTATAAGTGGAGCTCCCCATAAGTCAAGTAATGGTTACTTATTTTTTAAATTTTTTTAGAGACAGGGTCTTGCTCTGTCTCCCAAGCTGGAGTGCAGTGGTGTGATCATAGTGCATTGCAGCCTCAAACTCCTGGGCTCAAGTGATCCTCCTGCCTCAGCCTCCCAAGTAGCTGGGACTACAGGCATGTGCCACCATGCCTGCTAATTTTTAAAAAAATTTTTGTAGAGCTAGGGTCTTGCTATGTTGCCCAGGCTGGTCTCAAACTCCTGGCCTTAGGCGATCCTCCTGCCTTGGCCTCCCAAAGTGCTAGGATTAGCGGTATGAGCCACCATGCCTTGGCTGGCCATGGTTACTTATTAATATTAGTAGAACTTGCTTCCTAAAGAGCTCTGGGCTGTTTCAGTTGCATGCCTTCTGGGCTTAATTTTTCCATCTGTGCAATAAGAATACTGTCCTCCAATGGGTTTGAAATTTTCTCAACCGTAGAACTCTTCGTTCAAATGGAAAATTCACGCAAATCAGATTAAAGGAAGTTGCTCTGGTTGGCAGTGAGGTGGGTGGCAGGGAGCCTCATCTGCCAGGGATCTGGGCAATACTATTTGCAAAGCACTGTCCTTCCTTGCCGGCCTTCAGGAGTGCCTTTCCCCGAGTGCCTGCTTATTTAAAGGATGTGACCATTGTACTGAGTGCTCCCAGCTGCAGGCGGGTGGCACTGCTGGGGGAACAGCTCAGAGGAGGGAATCGGGCGGAAAGCAAAGGAGAGTCCTGCGTGGCAGGTGGCAATGTGAAGGGAGGAGGGGGGCGGTGGGCTTTGGGGCAGACAGCTAAGCTTGGCAGGGACCGAGAGTGGGGCACGCCATCCCATGGGGAGGGCAGGGAGGTCAGGGAGCAAGGCTGGAGGAGGCGATGCGAGGCCCACTTCAGCAGAGTGGGGCTCTTCCCACTTGCTGGGCTGGGTGCTGAGGCTTACAGGGTGGGGACCTTGGCGCCATGGAAAGACAGTCTCTCTTTTGAGAGAACCACATGTTTCTGTGTCCTCAGATACTCATCAGCTGCATGGCTCTACGCAAGCCGCTTGGTCTCTCCAGTTCTCACTTCCCTCCGCCCCAAGCGGGCAACACCCGGTCTACCTGAGCTCCGGAGTCTTCAGCTCCGGGGTCACGTGCAGATTCCACTCCAGAAAGGAGCCTGTGCTTGGGCCCTGTCTCCTCTGTCAGGCTTCCATTCATTCTGGTGAATTGTATTCATTCTGATCTCAGTGTCTTGCTGAGTCCTAAAGTGAGCTGCACAGGGACCCGGGGGGCAGCCTAGAGACAGCGGTTACATGAGCGAGCTCTGAGAGAGAACACACGCACCCCAGCAAGACAGTAGCAGGAGCCATCTCTCCATTCGGAGCAATTTCCTGAAACTGCCCCTTGAACACTGAATCTCCTTGTGCATTGGGCTGGGCCTTCGAGAATCTCGAATGGAATGTTTTCCAGCCATTTATAAACAACACAACCTTATCTTGAATTTAAATCCTAGGCAGAAGCTCAATACACAAATGGATGAACGCAAGGCTGCCGGCTGGAAGCCAGCGTTGGGAGAGGATGGGCTTGGGCTGGCCTGCCACCCAGGCACAGTCTCAAAACCACAGGGTGACAGATGCCTTTGGACAGGCCAGCCGGCCCTCCCTTCCCCCAGCCCTGCCGCTCTGCTCTGGGCAGTCCGGCCTTCTTTGTCTTGGTCTGCTCCCCTCCCCCAGCCCCGGCGCACACAGCTCAGGCCTCCACGCTAGCTTCCCAGGCCGGAGCCACTCTGTCCCCAGCCAGACAGCTTGGCCGGAGCCAGGGCCCTTTGTCCCCCAGAGGAGGCCCCGGGCAGCGTGCCAGCCACGCTACCTGTTTCCAGTGAACGAGCAGTGAGTTGTGCCCACTTGTCCACTCCAGCAGCTGCTCTGCCAGCCTTGTGGAGACAGCTGACAGCCAGCACAACAGCCTGCCATCCCTGTTGGGGACAAAGGCCACCGAGGCCTTGATAACTGCCAGGCATGGACCACCTTTCCTTTCTGTGGTCATGGAGCCAGTCATCGCAGAAGAAGGTGACTGATTCTCGAAGGCACCTCTGGGGCCCAACGCCTGCAGGCCAATGGCGGAAGGAGAAACAGAGGCCTGGCGAAGTGGGCTTTCCGTGGAGACAGCCCACACGCTGCCCCACTCTTGAGTCTTGCAACGTCCTCCGTTACGTACGACACGGCAAACAGAGGTGGTGCTGTCCTCACTCGGCAAAATGGAAAGTGTGTTGGCATCCACATTAAATTCTCCGAGCACGTCTGTGAAATCCGAGAGCTTGGTTACCTCCCCGCTAACATTCCCTGAAACTGTGACCCTTATTTTCTTATTTTGGCACGACTTAAATCAAATAGGTAATAAAGTGACCTAGGAAGCAGAAGAAAGGAGGACCGAGGTGTGGGCACAGCTGGGAGCCTCTCAGCCGTGGCGCTGGCGCTGGAGGAGGGCGGCAGGTGCAGGCCACGCTGCCAGCACGCCTGGGGCACCTACGCTCCGCTCTCCGGGAAGCCCATGGCTACAACTTCCAAAGGCCAGAAATGCCAGCCAGAAGTGGCAGTAAGGCGCTGACAACAATGAACCTTTAGAAGGGCCTTCCCAGCACCTGTCAGCCAGCAAAAGGCAAGAGCTTGGCCAGGGAAGAAGCTGCAGTGCCTGCCGGCACCAGATGCCTCGAGAGGGGGTCTGGCTGGACGTGGGCCACCCCTCGGAAGGCATTTTTGTGAGAAAGCCAGCCGTTCAGTTGTAGATGGCAGGCAGCTGCCACTCAGCCTTCTTCCACACTGTCGTCCTCCCCCGCTGTCCAGTTCCAATGGCCTGCCCCTCCCCTCCTCTTCACCCCTAACATAACCCCCTTGGCTCGGCCACACCCATCCCTGCGGGCTAGAAAGCCCAGGGGGGACTTTGTGACTCTGTGCCCGGTCCAGATGGGGGTGATAAAGGCCTGGGAAGCACGAGAGAGGTGGGCACAGAGCTCCCCTCCGCCTCCACTCCCTGCTGTGCCCTGGGCCAACCGCTCCTGGCCCCCAGCCTGCCTTTACCGTCTTCCCAGACACAGTCTCCCCAGACACAGTCCTGGGCTCCCTATGACAGGTCTCCCTGAGTCCAGCCCTGACACCGTTCCCCTCCCTCTGAAGAGCCGGGCCCTGGGAATCCATGCAGTTCACAAGCCAGTCTTCCTCTGGAAGCTCCCTGACAGCCCCAGCCTAGGGTCAGTCACCCTGACTCTGGTGGGCGGGTCTTCTAGTTTCTGCCCTTGTTTAAGGTACAGCAACCCGGGCAAGAAAGCTGTTTCCGATCCTCCTGCTGCCCTTACGCATACATTCCCCGGCCCCCCGACCGGGCTCACCTCCCATCTATGGAAAAGGAGATCTATGGCAACAGGGATTTTCTCAGCTATGTTTCTGGGTCAAACAGGTGCTCAGAATGGCCACTGGCCAACATCCTGACTGCCTGGGGCCAAGGGCGCAGCACAGTGAGGCGCCCTCGGCTGCTGGGTGCCGGCGACTGCACAGCTGCCCTGGACGCTCCCCGTAACCCACTTGTGCTTCCACTGCCCCAGCCTGCTCGTGCCATGCCCCTGCTGGGGTGCTGTCCTGTGAGATGCAGTGGGCCTCAGACTCTTTTGGGTCATGGAGCCCTTCAGAGTCTTTTGAAAGCTTAATGCACGCTCCCCAGGAAAATACACACACGTGTGTGTGCGCATGTGCACATCTGTACATGCACGCACACACACACACAATTTGCGTACCACTGCAGGGGCATCAGGGAGCTCTTGTCCATGTGTCCCGAGATCCCCAGATCCCAGGTTAAGCATCTCTGCCGAAACGTGTCACAGCAAGAAAGGGGAGGCAGGAGCACTGCGGAGAGGAGTGTGAATGCGAGTTTCGCTGCGGCATCGACTTGGTGACCTCAGCATGTCCTGCCATCTCTCAGACCCCGGTTTAGCCAGAGCTGTTGTGGCAACTGGTGCTGAATATCTTCACGGTTCTTCCCAGCACTGCCACCATGGGGCTGTATGACACCTCGTCCCTGCTCCCCAAGGTCAGGCAGGGCAAGGGGACAGGGTCCGGGACCTCTCCCTCAGCAGCTCATCCTGGGGAAGAAGGTCCGATAGCCAGAAAAGGAGACCCAGGGAACAGCAAGTTCCCCTTTAACAAAACTGAGAAAACTGCAGAAGTTTTGGGAAGTGCCACTTCCTACTTGATTTTAATTTACTTTAAAACAATTTCAAATTATTTCCTTCAGTGTACTCTGTGAGAGTATAAGCACCCTGCCTTTGCAAGGCTCTGGGTTCAAAGCTCTACTTTGCGATTCCCTGGCTGAGAGCGCTCGGGCCAGCCCTTTCTCGCTCGGAACCTTAAGTAATTACAATCCTTGGTGACTGTTGTGAAGGCAAATGAGGAGACCTCTAAGATGGGGCTTGTATGGGGCTCACCTGAGGCAAACAAGAGCTCTCATTGCTGTCACTATTGCCATTGGGAATCAGAGGTTCTGGGGATGGGGCCGTGGGACTCAAAGAGGATGAGAGGCCTCCCCCCAGGAGTGGCTGGGGGTGAGGAAATAGGCTGAATTTATCTCCCAAACCAGGACCCCGGTCCCCAGGGGCCCAGCCCAGAAGGCTTTCTGAAGACCCCATAGTCAGGGTCTCCCCTCTGAGGCTTTGCATTTGTAGGATTTGAACTTTGACCCACACCTGAGGTCATGTTCTTTGTTATCTGTCGTGGTCTAGTTGGCCCTGACCCAGGGGGACCCTGGACCTTAATTCTGTTCTTGATCTCCAGGATCCCCCGGAGCCTCCTGGTGGGAAGACAGCCCCATCTTCGGGTTTCAGATGGACCCTGGAATCTGTGGCATCAACCTTACCTTCACTGCCAGTCTTGAACCACCAGCACTGCACGGAGAGAACGATGACTAGAACCAAGGGAGGCAGACTTAACACACACCCACCCATGGCAACTTCCAGCCAGCGACGTGTGGACCTGAGCTTGACCAGTTTCCTTTGCTCTTCACTCCCTTCTCCGCCTCTCTCTTCCTCTTCCTCCTCCACCCACTCCTTCCCCGCTCCTCCCCGAGCACTCCAGCCCTGGTGGCAGTAGCCCAGGACCCACACTGAGGAACAGGAGGCAGGAAGATCCCCATTTACCTGTTCGTTCACTGATTCACTCATAGTTTTTTTTTGGTTGTTTTTTTTTTCATGGTTTCTGGCAACAAATCCTGATTGACACCCCAGTGCTGTGGGTTGTTAAAATACAGTGAAGCTAGTGGGGTCTCTTCTGCCAGTTTGGGTTCAAATCCCAGAATCCCAGCCTCTATTTGCTGCGAGAACCTATTTAATTCCTGGCCTGGCCCTGGTCCTGGTGTGAGAAGAGGCTCCTGCCCACAGGGCGGTGCCAGATTAAGGAAAGCAGTGAGGCATCTTTTGGAAGCAGGGAGTGCAGGGCAGAGAGTCAGGAGCTCGAGAAGAGCATGGCCCTGGGTTCAAATCCTGACTCTACCACGGACTCCTCTGGGTAAAGGCAGACAACTCTGTAACTCTTTCAGCCTCAGTTTCCACTTTTGAAAATGGGCATAATGACAGTACCAATCTCACTGTGCTGTGAGCAGTAAGTGGCAAATTGTGTTACAGCACAGGGCCTGGCCCAGGGCAAACCCTCTGAAACAGCCATCGTTAGGAAAGCTTCCCCTGTAGCATCTTGGCATTCGTTTTCCATCTGGGAAACGGAGCAGCGCTGCAGGTGCGCAAGGCTCTTTCCCCAACTGTGGGACCGATGCTTCTAGGAGACTGGCTAAAGACGGGTGAATAAAGGCGTGGCCAGCACCTGTCCGGCCCCTAAATTGCCTTCCCTTCGGAGGGGTGCCAGGCGCAGCGCCCACTCTCAGCGCTGGGCCCGAGGCCCGCAATGCGCCAGGCTGGCAGGGGAGGGAACCCTGCGCATGGCGGCCAAGGGCACAAGTGCCTGGGCTCCAGCGCCCTGCCCGCTGGCAGTCCGGGGTCGGAGGGGGTCTCCGCGGACGCCCACGAACCCTCCTGCCCAGGCCTCACTCACCGTCCATTCATCGCGCTGTCCAGAGGCCGCTGCGTCTGCCGTGCCCTCGCCTGCGCCCGCCGTGCCCTCGCCTGCGCCGGAGCAGAGCCGGCCGCGCCTGCCGCCCGCGGCCCCCGCGCTGCGGGGCGGGCCCCGCCCCTCGCCCCGCCCCTCGCCCCGCCCCCGCGCGCTACAGCCAACGGCGCCGTCCCGTACTGCCCCGCCCCCGGCACGCCCCTCGGGCCACACAGCCAATGGCGTGGTCCGGTCGCGAGCCGTCCCGCCCCGGGGCACACGGGTGGGGGCCGGAGGCGGGGCGGAGCCAGAGGGGCCGCGGGGACGGTGTGGCGCGTCGGGCACCGGTGTCCCCAGACCACACTGCTCGGAGCCCCGCGCGCCTCCAGAGTCCCCAGCCCCGGGGCGCCCCGGGACGCGCGGAGAAAGCAGCCCCGACCCAACCCCGAAGGGTGCAGTCTGCGGGCGGGGGCCCGGGCCCTGGGCTGCCCGCGGAGGCCGCTGCGCAGGCGCCGCCAAGTCTCGGTGCGCGTGCGGAGGGGCGGCGGGGTGGGGCGCGGGGAGGCCGATCGGTGAAGCCCGGCGCATTTGGTATTTATTGTTCAAGGGGCACCTTGGCACGGTGTGGCTCTTCGCTTGGCCCGGCCTCTTAGAACTCTGCATCGTTTAAGAAAGCGGGTATTTGCATACACAAGGAGTGCAATGCGCACCACCCGAAGGATGGACATATTTGAAACGCGGACTTGGGGGGGGGGCCAAGGGCAACATACGTAACCTAAACATCTGTACCCCCATAATATGCTGAAATAAAAGAAAAAGAGGGAGAAAGAAAAAAGAAAGCCCATCAGGTGGATAAAAAGAAGTTAGCCTACTTACCCAGTCACTGCCTCATGTGGACGGGACTTGCCCACACCGAGGCAGAGAGGACAGAAAACCACAGGACATTTGGGGAACTCGGAATGGTTCACTGTTTCTGCGGTGTGAGGGTGGCAGGGTGGGGGATGGGGTTGATGGAAAACATTTGCAATTTCTGTTTCATTTCACCATTCCCAGCTCCCCCCACTCCCAACACAAATCATTTTAGTGTCATCCAATCAGCATTTCCTAATCTTTTAAGGGTCACAGGGCCAATTTAGAATCCGATATGGGTTTTCTAGAAGAATGCAGGTGGCCACATACACAAAAATCAGCCTGCGGTTTGAGTCTGTGGGCCCCCGGACCAACTCAGAGGACTGCTGATCGCTGTTAGGCTGCTGGGTGGAGGCAGAGCCCGCCGCGCCATCTCCTTCCTGTGCCGCCTGGCCTATGTCGCAACCCCACTGGGCCTGTTTTTCCACCTGCAAAAAGTGAGGGGCTAAAGATGACCAGTCCAGGGCCCCTCCCATCACTGCCTTTGCTTGAATTCTTGGGCAATGGCCCATCCTTTGCCAGCTCGGGTGGTCGCTACGGTTGGTGACGTCCTGTCATGACAGTTTGCTCTTCCATAGCCCAAATATCAGACCTCATCAAAGTTGAGATCAATAATTGAGTGCTACAAAAAGGTTTTTAAAAATAGTGGGTAGCATTAAACATAGCTCTCAACCTCTGAGCCTTAGATCCTAAGAATTTCGTCACTTGCAGTAGCAGAAGTAAACACAGCACCAGGGTGACCAACGATTTCCCTGGGGCTCTGCAGCACTTGAGTGTGAATCATTCTGCCGACCTAGTTAACTGTTCTTCCCAGGGCCGGGACTAGCCTGGAGCGAGGATTGAGTTTGGGGCAGGAACCCAACACCTCTGCGCACCCACCGTGCATCAGATACGGTGCAAATGCTCCACCCGATTCCCTCAAGGCGCTAGTCAGTGGGTGTTACTACTTGCATTTTACGTGGAACACAAGTGTCCATCATCACAGTCCTCAGTTCCTTCAGAGGGAGGAGTCATCTTATCTTCCAGTATTCAATAGAACCGTGTTTGGCCTCCAGTTCCCTTGTGGTGGGAGCTGTGGATACAGCCAGTTGCCAATCCAATATCCATTTTCTTCTTTGGAAAAAAGAAAGAAAGAGAGAAATGAGGAAAGGAAGGAAGGGAAGGGTGGGGGGAGGGAACAAAGGAGAAGAAAGAGAAAAACCAACTTGTTTGTAGCAGCACCCTGCCAGCCCCTAGTGATAGATCATGACCACTGTATTTTCATACTACACTTACAACACAATGGTGGGTTGTTAAATTAATTTAGTGAATAATGTGATCAGTACTTAAAAAAATAGGAGAGAAAATACCAGTGTACAACACACATAATAAATGTAAGTTGTGTTTTATGAAATTTTGTTTGCATTATTTATGTTTCAGTTATGTGTATTAGACTGTTATATAAAAAAGTGTTTCTCATTGTGGGCCACAATCAAAAAAGTAAAAACAGCTGTCTAAGTCAATCTGGACAATCCCTTTCATGGTCTTCCCAGTTTCTTTTGAAGCTAGAAGTGGCTGTAATTCCCATTTCTGGGCAAATAACAGGGAAAGTGTTCTGAGGAAGGGACGATTTGAGGGAGGGTGAAGACAGCTTTTGTTTTCCTGGTAGAAAGAACAGACGTCTCCTCTGCCTTCCTTTTTCAAATGTGGATATACCCTGTAATGTCTGGAACACTGGCAGCCATTTCGAGATGATACAATATGTCCATATGCTAAGGCTGGTGGAGCTTAAAGATAAAAGGAGTCTGGGTTTTTATTAACATCATGGAGCGCTGCACCATGCCTGCACTGCCTACTCCAGACTCCTTACCATAGAGAAAACAAGCCCCTATTTCTTTTAAGACAGAGGTTGGTAAACCTATTCTGTAAGGGGCTGGATAGCAAATATTTTAGGCGTAATTGATCTGTGTCATGACTATGAACTTCTACTGTTGTAGTTTGCAAGTAAGCACAACAATATGTAAACCAAAGGATGTGGCTGTGGTTCCAATAAAACTATTTACAAAAACAGGTGGCAGGCCACATGTGACCCATGGGCTGTAGTTTGCCAACCCCTTCCCTGGATGATCTTGTTCCCTTTATTGCCTCTCTGACCTCATCTCCTCCTACTGCCCCAGCTTCTCTCTGCTCTGATCACACTGTTCCTCCCATACACCAGGCCTGCTCCTGCCTCAGGGCCTTTGCACTTGCAGCTCCCTCACCCTGGAAAGCTCTTCCCCCAAGTGTGTGCTGGACTCACTCCCTCACAAATCGTCTTCTCTTTGAGGTCTTCCTTGGCCCCTGTCTAAAATGCCCTCCTTGACCCACACATGCCATTCTCTGGCAGACTGTATATTTCAATTCTTTATCATGACCTCCTTGAGGGAGGAACACTGTGTTTCCCTAAAACCCGACTCTGCCTGGAATGCATGGTATTTAATCAGTATCTGATGTATGATTGATTATTTTTTCCTTTTTACTAGATTCAGACCAGCAAACAGACTCAGGGGGGTTCAGTACCTCATAGAAGGTGACATGTACGGAAAGTGGTAGAGTTGGGTTTGCACCTAGTGGCCCCGTGTGGTTGTGTTTGTTCCACTGGGCATTGAAGTCAGAACAACATCCACCTCTAATGGGAGATTGGGCCATAGGGGAGCAGAGGCCACACAGAAATTCCTACAAGACTTCTTGCTTGAGTCCATCGCCCCAGCAAAGGAGGCCTTTGGGAGTCCGTTAAGGGAGCCGGGTGTTCTCTTCTTCTTGGGCAGTCTCATTCTTTGTAGCATTCCTACATCAGAAAGTCTTTAGAAAATGTGAGTATTCTGTGAACAGTCCAGGCTGATTTGTAGGATCCGTGAAAAGCCAAGTGGAAACAAATACTCATGATCCAGTGTTTTCAGGGAAGAGCCACAAAGAATGAATTTATCTTTGATTTGCAGGTTGAGGAGCTTAAAGGAGCCCAAGAGTCTGACAAAACACACATGACCTCGGCTGTTGGGTAAGGCGCCCTCCGGCAGGTTTTGCTGGGGGCATCTTGGCACCAGGGCGCTGCTCCACACAGACTGAGAAATTCTCCTTCCCTCTGGTGCTTCCAAGGGAAGGGGAAATGCCGGGTGCGATCACATGTTGAGATGTCATTTAGATTTCTACGTCTTGAAAAATAGGTTTAAATATCTTAATGTAAATGATGTTGATAACGAGAACCATGTTCAAGCCATTCCCTTAAAATAGTAAATGGGATTTTGGATTAAAATTACTGATTGATTCCTTAAGGCTTTTTATGGGTGGTTTTGTGTGATTTTTTCCCCCTTTATCCTCTCCAATATAACATTCAGAACAAATGACTTTTTCGAGCACGTTTTCAAAAAGTCTGTGTGATTCCGTATATGTGTCCGTTAGAAAACAATGGGATGGTTGCACTTGATTGGCAGGAAGAGGCCGATTACAGAGCGCTTCTTGCACCGTCTGCTTTGCTGGGGTCCTGGAGTAATGAGGTCATCCCGCTGCGGGATCCCAACACACAGACGGCTTTGCCATCAGTTTTCAGGGGACTTCTCGAAAAATCTGCACACCGCCTATGCTTCCTTCTTCTGTGAAATGGTTTTCATTAATTTCATTTGTTAGCATATGAATAATAACTTCGGGTTAAAATATGGAACTCTTCAACCCATACCACAAAAATGCTAATTTATTCCCCAAATGGACATAAATTTCAATATAGGCTGCATAAATGCCTTCTCATTAAATACACCCACATACACACGCATGCTTTACATTTTATTTTTCCTTTATGGTTATGCTCTGAGAAAGGTTTTGTATCCCACCCTATAGAACTAATAAGTACTTGATCACAGGGTTTCCTAGGAGGGAGGCAGCTTGCTTTAAGGGTGATATAGCTAAAAATTACTGCTGAAACTTCCTTTTGGGGGAAAATAACTGACTCAAGCCCTTTCTCCACTTAGTCTCTGAAAAGAGGGTGTGGCTGTCTAACACACCTCTGCTCCCAAAACATGTGAGGACAAGGATGGCCTGAAAACCCCTGGGCGGAGACCATCGGTAGGCCTGGTTTGGTGATGAGTCAAAGCTTTTTTTCTTCATCCTCTCCTCTCTATCTTCCCGATACTGAAAATACAGAATTT